TCATCCATCATTCCTAAGTAATCATGCTCCTTTTTTTATGTGCTACTTTAAGGCATATTACTTTAAAGTTCCTAGCTATGTAAACATGCAAGTATGGCATACCATGTCGAAGCATCACTATATAAACATGCACATATCATCACTTCAACATTTGGGCATATTATATCACTATCATGAATTTCCATAACATCATAACCCAATAGATTTCCAACAAATTGCAGCATTCATACGTCATACCGTCTGGTGATTTTCCCTAATTCGGACCAAAATGGCCTTTACAGGCCTCACAAGACAGGTCAAGGAATCTGTCCATATTTGCAATTTTGCCAAAATCAATAAACACATTAAGGTTTTAGCCAAATGATTAGATTACTCAAATGTTCACCAGTTTGGCCTTGAAAAAGTGTATTGAAACTTGAATTAAGTACTTAATGAAAACACAAAAAATATGACTAAAGCATGATTGAGAGTAGAATGTTATAATCACACCAAACACATAACTCTACACCCACCATTAGAGCTCATTAAGCTCCATATTAAGACACATGCTAAGATGTGACATAAAAAGTTATAGACATTGTAAAGAGCTTTTAGTGCAAAAAATACAAAATAAAGCAACAAGGCATTACATGGTCTTCAAGCTAGATGTTGAGTACATATTTGCTAGACAAAACAACCACACAATAAACCATATATGAAGACACTTAGGGGTTATTTTGAGAGCATTTGAATGGTTCAAAACAAGGTCTTATATGCAGGAAATATTACACATGAAGTCACTAGAATTGGTAGTAAAAGAAACATGAAATTTGACACCAAAAGAAGCATTTGACTTCACAATTCCAACCAATTTACTACTGACTACAACACAAAACATATGAGAATGGAGACTCAAGAACTAACCAAGATTTGTCAAAATACAAAGTGTAGAATGTCAAAACACACCAAGACATACAACATGGCTTCAAACACCAACCAAATCTCAAGCATTAGAACCTTAATTATATGAGGATGATCATTTTTTTTCCTGCCTACTAATCGAAACAACAACACCAATAAGAGCAAGGGATGGTTTGGATCGTCTGTTTTCTTTTTTGGTTGCTCACGTATAGGCCAACCGTAAGAGAAGAAATAGGACAAAAACATTAACACGTTGAAATGTATGATTCAATGAGGTTAAATGAAAATTTTGTCAATTGGTCCCTAGACTTCCGACTTTAAACCCCTTCCATCCCAACCCTAGACAACTTAACAATTTAAGTTGCCTTTTATGACATTTTAGACCCTCAACACCATTTACACTAATTCAATAAATTATATTTTCCTTAATAATTCCATAAATAAATTTAATTGGATTATATTCGTCTTAATTATTGATTAATTCTTTTAGATATTAAGTAATACTATTTTTTATTTAATTTATTCCATTTTAACGTCATAAAGCTAAACTCATTCACATAAATAAATATTCAAGAAACAGAAAGCAAACGTCATTAATGAAAGGAAATTCGAGTCGTTACATGGTTGATGGTAGATGTTATGCTCAAATTCTCTGGATTCAAAACCAGCTCATGGATTATGGATTCAAGTTTACAAAGACTCCCATTTTTGTGATAACACAATGTATCCAAAATTAGACTACTGATGCATCATCCAACCTTTTTGAATTAAAACCACGGTTTTTTTACAACAATATGAACTATTTTTGCAATTTTGTCTATTAAGTATCTTGTTTGGTTAAAAAGTTTTATAACTTATTTGATATACATAACAAACATCTTAGTTTTATTAGATATACGCCCAAAACTTTATATACATCCCAAAATTCAAAGATATATTTGTATACATCACCAAGTTTAATACTTTATTCTAATACACTTCAAAAAGTTTGAAGTTTTAGTGATACACTCAGAAAGTTTAAAACTTGATTCGAGGCACATCACAAATTGATACACTTAAAAAGTTTGAAACTTGATTCGAGAGACATCACAAAGCTCTATAATATATTTGATATACATAAATATAGATCACCAAGTTCAAATATTTATGTGATACATAAGACAAGTTCAAAGCTTTATTCGATATGCATCAAAGAGTCCAAAGTTTAATTCAATACACGTCATATAATTCAAATATTTATTTGACATATTTCATTATATCCAAATCGTTATATTGATATACATGACAAAGTTTAAAACTTATATATATATATATATATATATATATATATATATATATATATATAATATATATAGATATATCTATATATATATATATATATATATATATAAACAAAGTTTAAAACTTTATTCGATATGTCATAAGGTTCAAATCTTTATTTGACATATTCATGAGGTACCCACACAATACAGGGAAAGACAATTAGTTATCAATGCTCGAGTTTGCAAGTTTTCTTTAGTCAAATTACAATTTCTATTCTATTTGCATTATGTTTCAAATGAAAATCAATTGATCGAATATGAAGTAGTCAAATTACAATGCCGATGAATAGATATTGAAATTCATTTACAAATAAAAAGTAGTCCTAATCACATAAATAAGGAAAGTAGGAGGCATCATATTACCGAATGATAATTTTTGAACATTGTTAACCAAAAAATCAACTAATATTTTATTAAGCTTCTTTTAACGATGTGTTAATCACAAATATCATAAAAAGAGAATTATATATTTTTTTTATATTTAGGGGTGCTTTGACGATAAAAAGAATGTTGATATTCTTTTAGACAACCTATTGTAGTCTTCCGATCCTTTGTAGGAGACTAAAAAAATGACTCATATTTTGAAATTACAAAAAATAGGAAAGTATAAAAGATTAAAAATAATCGACTTATTTCTTTATTTTTTTTATTTTTTTTTTGTGGTTTATGTTTTTGAAATTAGTTTCTAAATTAATAAAAATGATAGACAAATTTTCAAAAATCATATAAATTAATAATAGTCATTTTTTTTTAATATTGATTTTTTATATGTACATATTATTATTTATACTTCAATTTCAATTTATACCACGTTTTAAGCTTTTTTATTTTTAGACATTGGTCATTAGATAAAAACACTGATAACTAATACTCCCTCCGTCCCAATATTATTGTCCACAGACAAAAAACACACATATTAAGAAAAACATTAATTACCACTAACTTTATTTAATAAAATGACAGTTTTGTCCTTACTTTGCATTTAATGTTCCATTAAATGTTTAGTTTGTTAAGTAATAATTAGGGGGTATTTTGGTAAAAATGTTATTTATTTTTAGAAATGGACTATTATTTTAGGACAAACCAAAAAAGGAAAGATGGACTATAATTTTGGAACGGATGAAATAGTTATTATTGTGTATTTCTAAGTTGTATCTTAAGTTGTATGTTGGAGTCAGTTGAATAATAACACATTACAAAAGAAAAATTTATAACTAATAAGTTAAAAAATAACATTGAGGATATCAATGTCCATGTGGTATTAGATTTGATCATTCTCGTTCCTTGATGGTTTGGTGTAAGGTGGTGCCTCTCAAGGTTCTTTGTTTTATTTGGCGTGACTCCTTGGGTAGAATACCCTCCGCTGAGGCTCTTGCTTGTCGAGGGGTTCCTAACATATCTACTAGTTGCGGTTACTGTGATTTCGGGGTTGAAAATGTTGATCACATCTTGGTTGGCTGCCCTTTTGCGAAGGTTGTCCGTGACTGGATATGGAGGTGGTGCGGGATTAATCAGGATACGATTACGAATATTGGTGGCGTGTTGAAGTTCGTGGGATTGTGGGGTAGATGTTCAAAAAAAAGTGTTATTCTTACGTCTATCTGTTATGGTCTCTTTTGGATCCTTTGAAAGACTATAAATAACAGAATTTTCAATAAACATCTCAAATCCGCTTCTCTGGTCACGGAAGAAATCATTTCGACTGTTTTCTTTTGGTTGAAGCATAGGGGTAATTGGGGAATTGTATTTGGGACATATGGTGTAGTTCTCCTTTTGACTGTCTGTAATTCGTTTTTGTTCCTGCTTCTTGTACTTTTCCCCCCGTCTAGTTGCTTGCTAGGTATGGGTTGTTTTCTTCTTCTTTTTTATATATTGGCCGTTTCAAAAAAAAAATATGGTTAAAAAGAAATTAAAAAAAAAAAATTGAAGTATCCGTTAAACTAGATAAAGGGTGATTTGTATATAACTATTTATTTTTTAGATATTTGTACTGTACAACTTAATAAAACATAAATAGTCTGTGTATAAGAAAATATTATTGTATAAGGATCTCTACCCATTGATAAATATCATTCATTTTTATGGAGCCTAAATCGACTATTTAATAAAATTAACAAAGATGTTCCACAAAATATATAACTTTTTTTTCTTTGACAAAAAATAATTAAAATTAATTATGATGCTATATCTTTTATCTATTAAAAATTATAATCTAATTATTTATTTATTAGAATCAATAAATCATCGAACATCAACGAAGATTTCATTGTTGTTTAAAAAAAAATCAAAGATATTTAATATTTAATTTCTAAGCCTAACATTTCTTCTAAATCAGTTTTATGAAACACAATACAATTGACCTGTGCATAATTTAGTCCCAAACAATCAGAAAAAGTTTTGATGTTTTTAAAATGTAAGTGTTCAAAAAATAAATGACCTTAAGTGCCTTTTCTAATGCTTTCCTTCTTTTTATACCAACACCTTGAGAAGCCCTAACTCCAGTCCCAACCATCATAACAGTTACCAAAAAATGGTCCATGTGTCAAAAATACATTCCAAAACAGTCTCGTGGCAGAAAATGATTACATAAATGGTCCCTGTGAGTGAAATACATTACAGAAACAGTCCCCCTATGGCATAATTTCTTTATAAAATGGTCCATATGGTAGAAATTCATTATACAAACAGTACATGTGAAAGAAAATATTTACATAAATGGTCTATGTGGCAGAAATACATTACAAAAACGGTTCATATGGCTTAATATCTTTATAAAATGGTCCCTATGATGGACATTACAGAAACATTCTTGTGGCAGAAAATATTTATAGATTTGGTTCCTATGGTAAAAATACATGACAGATGCAGTCACATAGCAAGATTTTTTTTTACAGAAAAGTTCATTGTGGGAGAAAAACAATTACAAAAAGGGTCCCAAAATAAATACATATCCCCTTGTAATCCTGCCAAACAAAAAATGCCCTTACTACATCATCCCCTTGTAATCTTAAAATGAGTTTCTTCTGAGTATAAGAATGAGTTTCTTCACAAGCCACTACTACATCCTCCCCTTGTACTTTTTTAACTTTCCACTTTCCATCATCAAAATGCCCTTATCAGTTAACAATTTTTATGTGATTTGGATAGAGTATCTTCTTACTATTGCTGTTTTTTAAATAGTAATCTGCAGACAAGAAACAACAAACACATCCCTTTAAAATTCAAAACGGGTACTATCCAAGATCTTAAGCTTCTCCATCTCTGCCTCAGTGGCAATTCCATGATCCATATAACACAGCTGAAACAAAACCAATACCATCATAATGTCAGCTTATTTTATATATATATATATATATATATATATATATATATTATATATATATATTATTACCTGGTAGTCCGATTTCTTCAGAGTGTGAACCCCTCTTTTTATATATCTTTGCCATCCAACTTTCTTGCTCAGACAAGTTTCCAAAACTTTTGTTTTCTGGCAGCAATTACAAGAAAAATTCATCTTAATTAAAATAATTAAATGCATTTATTTCATAACATTCAAGCAATATGTATGATATCACATGACATCTTCTGGAAAATAACTGAATACTACTTCTGTATACGAGACCAACTAAGGTTGTGTTTCCTTTTAACTTAATGCATTTGATGATTGTAAATAAATAAATAAATAAAGCATGTACTTACGTGAGCAGGATCTAAAATCAGTAGGCTGTGTTGGTGCATCCCATTTGGAAGACTTTTCAACTGAATTCCAACTATAGTTCTTGAATGTCCATCATGCTGGAAATACAAGGGCCTACACAATAAGTTTCGAAATGAATCCATCATTATTTTATTTTGTATTGTAAATGTAAATAAGTAAATTTGTAATAAATATAAGATTGAAACTATTACGCTTTATCTGTGACAACAACTCTGTTGCAGCCTGGTTTTGGTTTGGTGGGCATGGGTGTGGGCATATTATTATTATTATTATTATTATTATTATTATTATTGTCAGAAAAGTAAGACCAAACCCAATTGGCAAGAAGTTGACTACCCTTGACTCCCAAAAATTTGTTGTCATTATTAGATTTACTACTGGAACTGGAAGTTGATGCAGTATTTAGATATTTATCCATTGGTCCAGTTGTAACTTGGGTTGACTTCCTCTTCTTGTTACCACTAACATCACTTGATAATCTTGAAGCAGAAGAAAAATCTACAATTCTGGCACGAAGCCCAAAAGAGCGGAAAAGAGCAGCACACTCGGTGGTACCAATCCAAGTTTGTTTCCCATATATCTTTTGATCAAAATCATTTGCCCCTGCTGTATCAAACCCTTTCTCCCATGCAATTTCAAGCCATCTTTGGAGTGACAAGATATCAGGCACAAATCCATCTCCCCCAAATAGAATCTCCTTTGCTTCTTGCCTCTGCTTAACTAAATGAGAGCTAAGCATTTGGATGTTACGCCACCCACAACCCCACCCGATATCTTCAAACTCTACACTTTGGAAATGATCAACGTGTCCACATAATATACTAGTATTAGTACCATTGTCGCACTCCAAACAATCCTTTAACATCTCCATTATAGAACTAAAACCATGCTTCGCCTCACAATTGTTTTTTGGTTTCACTTGCATGGGAACCTGTCATAGGGTAAAAACAATTTGTTTTTATAATCAATTCAGGAAAACATTACCGAAGTATGGGATGTGGAAGATGAGAAGATGAGGAAACCGCAATATGATGTGGCAAATCGAAGGGAATATCTTCATCATGATAGTGCTTTGCCAACTGGAAATCCTTAGCTAAATCTTCATCCTCAAAGTGATTGTTGGCGTGCCTACATTACAAGCATAAAAACAAGAAGCACAACCTGTTAACCCCGACTCAAAACCCTAACAAGTGGTGCTAAAAGATTGATACCTTTCGAGTTCTGTTGAAAGAACTTGTTGGGAGCAAAAAGGGCAAGATGACCAGCTCATTGGGTGGATACTGGAACACCGTGATTTTTCACCTATTTTTTTTTAAAAAACGTTCATTTGACAAGATACGTTAGTGAAAGTCTTATTTTAAATATTATGAAAGCATCACCAATGTTACTTTGTTATCAAAACAAATCCATCAAAATTTCAAGGAGTCAAAAGGACAATTTCAATCTCAAAACATGATCCAAAGTACATTGTTTTTAAGGAAAAAATAAAGTACATTGCTAAAAGAAAAAAGACCATTAAGGGCTTGAGTTTCCTCCGGCGTTAAGCCACATATAAAGACCTTTAGGGACTGTTTTGAAGACCTTTTGGAGGGTTCAAAACATGGCTTTTTTATAGAAAAACATCAAGCAAGAATCTATGAGAATTGGAGCAAAAGAAATCATGATCGAAGACACCAAAGAAAAAAGATAAGACAATTAATCTACAATTCTAACCAATCCTTACTCAACAATGACCACATATATGAGAGTGTTCTTAACAATATTTTGACAGCCATCACCCATCAAAGACACAAAACGTGGCTGGGGATTAATCACATAAAATCTCAAGGATTGGAAGTAAGAAGAATGAGATTGCTTGAATCCAATCACTAGCAATTGAAACAATAAAATAAAAAGACGAGTTAAAGCAAGGAACTAACGGATTGTATGAGTCGATTTCGCAGCCTCAACACACCTTCAAGAATCGACACGTGCAGCCCCTTCTTTCCCCCCTCTCTTCTCGGTTCGTTCTTCCCTTCTCCACCCTAACTCGCCGTTTTTTTTTCTTTCTATGCTGCTGTCGAGCGATGCAACTCCAAAGGATCGATTTTGAGTTTACTCCATTAATCCGTGCGTAAAGGCTAGGAAGAGCAGTCGGAAAAAAAAAAAAAAAAAAAAAAAACTTCACGAGGTATCTTCAATCTTCGCAAATTAAGTTTATTTTTTTAGTTCCAGACTTTGAACTTTTTCTTGGGGGTGGGTTGGGGTGGGGTTAAGCCGTTAAGGGTTATGGACGAATTTTTAAGGATTAGTCCCTAGACTTTGAACTTTGTCCCCTCTTTCCCAACCCTAGTCCCTAGATACCTTCACAGACTAAGTTTCTTTTAATGCCAATTTAGCCCCCTTCATTACTTCACAAATTATATATTGTTTTATATTTAGAGGTGCTCAATTTGACAATAAAAGATAATCTTGACACACAACCTATTATAGTCTACCAACCCATGATAAGACCAACCGATATACAGACCACGGTGGGTCTCGTTGTCTAGCCGGCCACGACCGTGGTCCGTGCACACTAACCCGAACCATCGTGGGCCTCTATGCTCGTTGTCTTCAGTGGTGGGCATCACGAATCGAAATGACCAACGGGGTTGGATTGCTCATTTGAAGAACAAAAACAGAGAAAATGAGTGTGTGCGAGTTGGGTATTTTTGTTGGGGAAGAAGACATAGTTTGTAAGTATTGGCAACTTTTATCCCTGAGATATAGTCCATTGATAGAAAACACCCCTGACCAGAAATCCTTTAACATAAATAATTTCTAACATGACAAAATAAACCTTGGATTTATATTTCATAATTATTTAAGTAATTTGATTTATTTAAATTATTATTCTTATTATTATTATTATTGAATAACTTATTTTTATAATTAGTATTTAAAAAAATTATATGTTTTTAATGTATTTTTAAATTAAATTTAATTAAAAAATGAGGTGGAGTGGTGTGTTTAGTTAGACCTGGCAAAATCTGGCACGACACGACAACCCGACACGAACCCGACACAAAGTTAGCGGGTTAGGGTCAGAGATTTTGACCCGTTTATGTACACGGGTTGACACGACACGACACGATAATTAAACGGGTAGGGTTAGGGTCAAGACTTTCAACTCGAAGATGGCCCGTTTAATTTATATATATATATATTATATATTATATATAGATATATATATATATATATATATTATATATATCTATTATATATATATATATCTATATAATATATAAATATTTTCAATATTATACATTTGTAGTGACCCAAATTCAAGAATTAGAAGTAAAATTCAAACATTCAAAGTACTTAATTTTACTCCTCCTCACTACCTGTCTCATTTGCATCCTAACTCTTAACTCTTTCCATTTTTCTTTCTAAACTTACCACTACCTCTGTCTCATGTTTATTGTTCAATTTTGACTGATGAAGTCTTTATTCTTCAAATTTGACCTTAAATATTTTTGTTTTTGATATATAACACTTAATGCAAAATATATGAATGGATTGTGTTTTAAATGTCTTTTTCATTGTTATAAGTTTATCAAGTAATTTATAACACAAATAAAACTATTTAAGGTCAAAGTAAAAAAATAAAAACTTCAAAAGTCAAAAATGGACAATAAATATGGGATTGAGGGAGTATAATTTTTTTTTCCGTTCCACCTCCCAACTCCAGCATTTCACATTTTCAGTTTTTTTCATCCATGAGTAGGGATGAGCAAAAGGACCGGGGAACCGGCCGGAACCGGTCCCGGAACCGGTACCCGATGGAACCGGTCGGGCCGGTACCTATACTATAATTTCGTGAATATTTGGAACCGGGACCCGGTAAGAACCGGCCGTTGGAACCGGCCCAAAACCGGGAACCGGACCGGATACAAAAAACCCCATGCGGCCATGCCTTTGTCACTTGAACTTCTACTAGACTACTAGAACTTACACTTTGGAGTTGGACGTAACAAAAAAAAACCACGATCGATAAAACAAAAAAAAAACCCACTATTGATAACATAACTTTGACCACATTATTGCTGGAGCCATTTCCAGTAGTACTTGATAAAGTCGGTGATTGATCTGTAACCTCAAAAACAAATAAATAGTCATTATTGTCTAAATACTTACTATAAAAAAACTATGTTATTTAAATTGTCACATATATCATGTATCTCGTTGTAAAAAAGAAGAAAAAAACAAGTTTCATGTGACATTTAGAATTGCACCTACGTAGAAACAAGTTAAGTCGATCGTTTATTTATTATTAGATCATAAAAGTCATCACAATCATAGAAAAATCATCTCTAAATGTGTTTGGCAAAAATAGGAGGTAGCCGGTTCCAAAATCGAAAAACCGGCAAAAACCGGACCCGGAACCGGAACCGGTAGAACCGCCGGGCCGGTTCGGTTCTTGATTTTGGCCGAAGCCGGTTCCCGGGTCGGGTCCGGTTCGGGCCGGTTCCGGCCGATTCGGTCCTTTTGCTCATCCCTATCCATGAGTCTTACTTTTCAACCTTTAAAATGTTTCAACCCGGCATGACACAACATATTTATAAGGTTTAAACCTTAACCCGAAACCCGACACGAAATCGACACGAAAATAAACGGGTTGACACGACACGACACGATAATTAAACGGGTCGGGTTAGGGTCAAGCACTCTCAACCCGTTTAATGTCTTGACACGGCACGAACCCGACACGACACGACACGTTTGTCACGTCTATGTTTAGTGGTAGGTATCTCATGGTTAGTGGTAGGGAATATGGTGGTGATGTGTCACCCACCACTATAGTGGTTAGTGGTGGGTGTAACGGATGGCCTAAGAGAATAAAAAAAATACTCGTATTTTGAAATTACAAAAAATAGGAAAGTGTAAAAGATTAAAAAATCTACTTATTTCTTGAAAAAAATATTTTTTTTGTGGTTTATGCTTTTGAAATCATTTTCTAAGTTAATAAAAATGATAGTCAATTTTTCAAAAATCATATAAATTAATAATAGTCATTATTTTGAATATCGAATTTTATATGTACATTATATTTATACTTCAATTTCAATTCATACAACGTTATAAGTTTTTTATTCTTAGACATTAGTCATTAGATTAAAACAATGATAACTAATAGTTATTATTGTACATTTATATTTAAGTTGTATGTTGAAGTCAGTTGAACGATAACACATTACAAAAGAAAAAATTACTACTAACCAGCTAAAAAAATACATAAAGGATATCAATGTCCATAGATAAAGGGTGATTTGTATATAAATATTTATGTTTTAAATATTTGTATTGTTCGACATAATAGTAAATCAATAGTTTGTGTATAAGGAAAAGTTACCGCGTAAGGATCTCTACCCATTGATAAATATCATTCATTTTTATAAAGCTTTAATTGACTATTTTAATAAAATTAACAAAGGTGTTCCACAAAATATTTAACTTTTAATTTTTTTTCTTTGACAAAAAATAATTAAAAATGAAAAGTAATTAAGATGCTATATCTTTTATCTATGAATAAATTCTAATCTAATTATTTCTTTATCACAATCAATGCAAACATCAACAAAGATTTCATTGTTGTTTCAAAAAAAATATCAAAGATCGTATTTAATTTCTAAGCCAACATTTCTTCTAAATCAATAAAATGAAAGGATAAATGGAAAATCCTTCTACCAAAATATATAATATATATATATATATATATATATATATTATATATATACCAATATATATATATATATATATATATATATATATATATATATATATCATACATTTGGTTCATAAGAAATTGAATGCAATTTAATTTATTCAATGTTTCTAACTATATAAAATTATATATATATATATATCTTATATAATATATATAATATATATATATATATATATATATACACATAATTTTATATAGTTAGAAACATTGAATAAATTAAATTGCATTCAATTTCTTATGAACCAAATGTATGAAAGATTACAAAATTGAAGTTACTAATTCTTTAACTATCAATATCCTCAGCAACTAAGGCTCGTAAATTTCAAATAATCAACTAATCTGACTTTTAAACCTCCTCACAATAACACACACACACACACACACACACACACACATATATATATATATATATATATATATATATATAGGTGAGATCAACATAAAACCAAAATTATTTATAGAACCATAGAACCGCCTATGGTAATATGTAAAAAAACACAAATTTGTGTTCAAAAGGGGGTGTCATCTAAATAAAACAACACATACATCAAGATTATACAAGTAATAACTACCAATTTCGATAAAACTGATAATTTTTTTGTGAAATAAAATCAAATTTTGCAAATTATTATTGTCTTTAAAATATAGAGTACAAATCTATCAAGACCAAGAAAACTACAATCATGATTGCACAACCTTCACGACCCATTCCTCTTTAGTATCTAAAACAGCATAACCATAAATAGCACTGTAGTTTGTGTATATGGTAGAATATATAAAATAAACTTTTGAAAATAAAATAATAAAAAAATCAATTGGTACTTACACAATCTTTATTTCTGCTACTTCAGAACGATTTATTGAGTCAAGCTTTAGCAAACTTATATAGATTGGAGTGATTACTTTAAGGATCATGTCCGCATACAATTTACAGGATCAGTAGTTTATATGCATAGTTGATGTGTACATTAAGAAATGGAACTTATGCTTCTTAAAAATTCAAAAAAGAAGCAATATGCTTTATATAATAGTATAGATATATATAGCACAAATATCAAAGTTTAATTCGATATACATCAAAAACTTTTAAAGCTCTATTCAATATATTAAAAAGTAGAAAGCATTATTTGCTCCAACACACATTCTGTATTAGGATTCATTTTTGTCATGATTAAATAAATCAACTTACACATTTTCTTCAAGTTCTTTACCTTCATTGTTAGAATCACAAATAATGTTTTTAACTTTCTCATAACGTTCATGACTAAAACACCCATTTTCAACCTCGCTTAACATATCCATAACAAATCTATCTTTCCAAGCATTTGAAAACCCTTTACACAATCCACTCAAAACAACCCAATCAGGCCCAATAGGCCTCTCTAACATCTCTTTAAAAACACCAAAAGCACCATCATAATCATCGGTTTGAAAGAATGATAAAATCAACATCTTCATAGTATCTTCATTTGGACGACAATTACTCTTCACCATGCTTTTATAAAGCTGAAAACCACGATCTGGGTTCTTTCGAGCACATTGGGCTTTAATTAGGGCAGAAAAAGTCGAAGAATTTGGTACTAATTTCTTTTTATCAAGTTCTTTAACCAAATAAGCAGCTTTCTTGGTTTTTCCTTCGTTACAAAGTCCCAACAACAATGCGTTATAAGTCAAAATATCAGGTTTGACCCCGTTTCTTATCATTTCTTCAAAAATCTGATTACCCTTTTCGATTTTACCTGATTGGGAACATGCAGTGATTAATGTGTTGTAAGTTACAGTATTAGGAGCCACATTTACCCTTTTCATTTCATGGAAAACCTTAAAAGCATCATGTAGTTTCCCTTCTTTACAGAATCCATGGATTATTGTGTTGTAAGTTATGACATTTGGGCTGATTCCATTCTTCTCCATTGTAAGTTTCAACTTGATTCCGGTTGTTAAAAGGCCTTGGTTGATGTATGCAGTGATCAATGTATTGTAGGAGGAGACAAAAGGGTTCATTCCCATACCTTGCATTTCATCGAACACTTGGACTGCATTCTCTAGTTTCCCTAATTGAACATAAGCATTCATCACCATATTGAGAGTGAACACATTGATTGTGATCTTGGATCTTCTCATTTGGTTGTAAAATGGTAACGCGATGTCTGCTCGATTGAAACTAAGCAGTGAACTCATATACATGTTACATGATTCAATGGTGGGAAGAAATCTGTATTCCTTCATACGACAAAATGTATCTGTTGCATTCCTGAACTGCTTCATATGTGCATACATTTTGAAAAGTGCATCGAAAACACGAGGAGTGGAATCACACATTCGATAAGAGTGAAGAGCAACATCGAAGAGCCTAGAATGGAGGTTTACGTCACAAGAACAAGAACCGATGATCTTCTTTAAAATGGATTCAGCTGACACAAATTTACGATTCTTGGTGAGGATGTGGAGGATGATGGAATTTGTTTCGAGGGTGAGTAAATTAGGGTTGTGAAGTTCAATCCATTTGAAGAATTTTAGGGAAATAGCGTAATCGTTTTGAAGCTTTAACAGAATGTGCTTCACTCGTAATGAATTAGATTTGGTTAATAATTTTTCTAGCTTAGCCCAATCAGATTGAAGAAGATGACTGTGAGCTATGTTGATGTAATCGAGATCTTGACCTTTGGGTTCATGGATTGTTCTATGGGGTATTGGAATAGGACTCCATTTACTTCTAAGGAGAGTAGAATTAGGGTTTTTCGTGGCTGAATCAAGCAGAGTTGACATTCGACGAACTTGTATAAAATTCATGTTATGTTTCTAACTATGTACACGGTTGATACAATCTGCAGAGAGATAGATCGAACTAATACCAGGATCTGAAAGAACTCTCTGGTTGTTGGTAAGATGGATGTGAAGGGGTAAATCTAGGAGTGGCGATGAAAGAATCTGACAAAATTTGAGGAATTGTGTAGGAGGCAAAGTGATGAAGAGTGGCCGCCTTAAACCCTTGCTAAACCTTCTTGTTTTTGCCTGTGTCACGAAAAGATATTTTATTCATTTTTTTTCTTTTTTTCTTCCTTGTATGTTCTTTAATTCTACAATGAAATATTGATAAAACTAACCGTAATTTAAATTAAATTTAATGAAAATAAGTCGTATTTTGGTAAATGAGCATACTAACCAACAATTTTGGAACCGGTTCGTTTGAAAACGGTAACTAGAAGAGTTCGGTGGTCCTCCTATTTAAAGGAATTTCAGATCGAGGCATCGACAACCTTCTCAAAACAACATTTCAGACTCATTAAAAAATGTTTGTTGATATTGCTACATTATCCATCCTTCTAAACATTGTTCTTCCTTTGGCGAAAAATATTGAGTTGTGGAGACTGATCTTCCCTTTAACTTCATTGTCATCAGACTTAGCAACGGGTCTTATTATTTTCCCATTGGTGTGCTTGATGAGCAAGATATGCGCTACTCTAGCCAACATATCTCGTTCACGGTTTAGAAAGTCTTTCAATTGAGGACTTTCAATTGGGGACGTTTTTTGGGTTTGGTTCACGATCAGTTTTTTAGGTCAATTTGTCATTATAAATAGATCTTTTTATATTTCTCTGACCTTATGCAGAAAGCATGTGTTTTAATGGCTATGATTAATAAAATATATCCCTAACCATAGGCTTTTATACGGAAAAGTCTCATTATTTTGGGAAATTTTTTGATAAAGTCATATTTTTTTTAACAAAAAAGTCCCAATTATTTAATTTTACACGATAATCTGTCATTTCTTGATAAAATAAAAATAATGATTTTTTCGTTAATTTAAGCAATATATTAAATAACCGTGACTTTTCTATTCAAAATCTTTTTAGAACTTTATTATAAAATTTTCCAAAATAATTAATTTTTTTTTTTGCATAAAACCCCTAACCCTATGCAGAAAGTGTGTGTTTTGACGGTTACAATTAATAAAAAATCTCTCTAATTCATTTGTGGATTAGCTCATTATTTTTACTGTATGAACCACATTAAATGGTTTTGTTCTTTTATTTTGTTATGCATCTTTATAGTATGTTGTTGTGTTTATTAATATTAGCAAAAAACATTATACAATAAAAACATTATACAATAAAAACATTATACAATAGCTGATGGAGCCATGGATGTTATCATCGGTCGTCTCACAAATTTTGGTTATAATTAAATATTAAACCATTTTACCCTTGTTATTTTTATTGGATCGATGTAAAAAAAAAACTAAACGGTCTATCATTTCAACTCGTGTCATATTAACAAAGAAAATTAATGAGGTGGTCGGCGTTGCTATAAGAAATAAATTTATAGTACAATGTTCTAATAAAACATACTTGCATGTGTTAAGATTGAGGATTAAAGTGATCGGATTAACATTTTCATATAGTAACATATGTTTTAGTGTTAAGTTCGCATATAATGTGTTCATTGTGGCACCTCGTTAACATATACGATCATTGTTGTTATGTAACACTTGAGAATTTGTAAGTTTCATGTTTAGCCCTTGTTATTTAAAGTATTGCATTTTGGTCCTTATGGCTAGTACGTGGGGCGTACCAAAGGGTACGCTTGGCGTACTAGTTGATTGGTGATTGTTGGTATCTGCCTCGTACGCTGGGTGTACGATGGTTACGTTGGGTGTAATCTGGCCAACTTGAAACCCTAATTTTTAGGGTTTAACCCTTATATAAGCTCATTAACTCCCATGAGCTTGGCCTCTTACCAGCCTCCATATCCCCTGAACCCTAAATTTCGATCCTTAACCATCATTTTGTGTCTTTGAGCTCTTGAGAAGAAAAGTTGGTGTTTTATTACTCATTTTGAAGGGATGATTGCAAAGCACACACCATCCTGTTCCACATTTTGTGATTTACTCTGATATTGATGATGTACTGATACGATTTAATTGCCTTGGGTTTTATGACAATGATATGATTTGTTGTTTTATGAATTTAAAAATGAAAATTTTTTGGGTCTTATTTTTGGGACGTTACAAGTTGGTATCAGAGCCTTGGTTTGAGGGATTCGGACATACTCTTGAGTGTGTCTAAACTCAAAATGAGGGTTTGGTACAGATTTTCAAAAAGACATGTATTTTTTTTTAAGAAAAGGGTTTCTAAGAAAAGAAATGGTGTGGTGCATACAATCGACCGAACTCAAGTAAGTTTTCCCAAAATACTCATACATGTTATCTAATATGATTTAGTCTGTGAATCTGTGAATTGTATTCTAGTTAGGGCTAAGGATCTTCTCAATATTTGCATGATAGAATGTAAGGAGAGATGCCTTTGCCTATTGTATGAGCTTGTAGACTTGCATGCTAGTACTAATCAGTTAGTGATAGGATGACCTGATTAGGTTATGCTTGGTTCTGATTACTTGATGCTCGAAGGATGCTTGCTTTATGCTTTTAGGAGTTTCTACTAACCTCAGCTAACTAGTAAGTGAATACGTTAAGTTACATATTACTAAAACTAAATAATTTTAGAAGGTTAGGTTTTAACTCTATTGTGCAGCTCTTGTCTGAGTCCAACCGTTGTAGTGTAAGACCTCTCATTCGAAGAATTATCTAGTGTTAGTGACATGTAATTGTATTCGTGAGCTAGTTAGAGTAGGTTAGCGGGAGTTCCTTCTGCAGCTGATAGCGGAGAGTGGTGTGGAGATGCCCAAGGAAAATCTTGGATGAGATCTAGTATTGGGATCCTTATCTTGATGAGGGTTAATTGTATGCATAATAAGTGACTTGGCGGATTCAAGGCAATCCTTGAGGAAAGTACGGATAAATATGGAAGGTAGTATGGGCCCGTACTACTGGAAGCAGAGGATCCGTACTCGAGACAAGGATAGTTGCGATGAAACCAGGAAGCTTGTGGATTTTGTGATCCCTCGGTATATTTTGATGTGTATTATGATGATTTATTTGGTCTATTTTCAGTATGGTGGTCACTCAAGGAGGATCTGGTAGTGGTTCTGGTGCCGGCGAGGGCTCGGGCTCAGGTTCTGGGGTCGGGCATTTAGATGATGAGACGAGGGATGTAACATCCTGATGTCAGGTACTTCTAAACTCATCGTTATATTTCCATTGCATGATAATTGATTAAGTGGTTGCCTTCTTGGGGATTGGACACGGCGTGTTGGAGGCACCAACACAATGTGTCTAAATATTAAAAGGCACATGTTTTGGTTAGGAAAGACGACGTGTTTCCCTCAGAACACGATGTGTTGACCGATGTGAGTGAAACCCTAATATTCCAGGTTTATTCCCCTATTTAAAGGAATATGGGGGCTAGGGTTTGTTCATCCTCAGCCTCCATCAGCCCTCTCTAGCTCTGAAAGAAACCATAATATCTTCCTCTCCCATTTATGAAGATAGTTGGTGTGTTGAAGGAAGAAGGTGAAATAAAGAATCAATGATTCGGCTAGCAAGCATCATACTTCAGTGTAACACTCTCTTGGACCATTGTAAGTGTCCAAGTCCCGATTTTATCTTTCAAAGTCACTAGATCTTGAGTTTTGTCCCCTTTTATCTTTGTTATGGGTTGATGCAATTGAGGGATCTCATAAAGTTTGCAACTTTATGAATCCCCAGGTCAAGGAGACCTTGTAGTGGCTTGGATCTGGTTTCAACCAAAGTTTTGATGCCATGCATAGGAAGTAGGTAATGAATCCCCTTTTTGACCTAATATGGGTTCAAGACATGCATTGGACATGCATGTCTTAAAAAGCACCAATCTTTGGAATGGTTTAGGTGGTTGAACCACTTCTAGAAGGAATGGACTTCAAATCTTAATATTTGAAGTCCATTCCTTTTAGTTGGGATTTTTGAACCTTTTAAGCTGTTGGGATTTATGGTTAAATTTCAAGACATGCATTGGACATGCATGTATTAAAAAACACCAATCTGTACAAATCACTAAGCTTTTAGTTGGGATTTTTGAACCTTTTAAGCTGTTGGATATCTGGCGAACACGGCATGTTGGTGAAGGGTTTTGAGCATTCTAACACTCCTAAGGTGTACATGCAACCCTAAATGCCTTGGATCTATGTTTTCTCTATTATACATGCAAATATCAATTTTCCAAGGTATTGTTCTAACTAGCATGATATAAGGTACATGTAATATAAAATCTAGTAGAATTACATACCTCTTGTTGTAGCTTGATTCCATGGAGCTCAAGAGCCTAGTGCCTCAAGTGTGACACTTCAAATTATTCACACAACACCAAATACACTTAGAATAACTTGAGAGAATTGAGACACTTCATGAAATCGGCTAGCCCTCACCATTCCTTCACAGTGACTCGATTTTTGGGAAGAATAAGATGCTTATATAGTGTGTCACAATTAGGGTTACACCATGTAAACCCTAATTGTCATGGCCTTTCATTTCCATGATCCATGGGTACAAAAACACCATGGAGCATCCTATAGGTTTGAGCCCAACTTGATAATCCATGGAGCATTAGCCCACTATACAAGTATGGATGATTTACACAATCAACCCATATATTTAATTAGTCTCCTTTTGATCACTTAATTAATTCCAAATTAATTCTTGATCAATACTAATTAAATAATCTTATTAATATATTAGAACTTATAATATATTAATAAACCTTAAGTGTTATTTCTCTCATTTTAGTCTATCCAAATGCATGATGTCATGCAACCCAAATGGACCATGCCAATTGGGTCAAGTACATACCAAATATAGTTGTGGACTTAGACACTAATCCAACAGTCTCCCACTT